TCGAGCTCTGGAAGGATAAGTACTAAGGCAAGGATACTTTTGACCCACTCTGCTCAAAGTTGTTGTAGACTTGGTTAAAAGGTTTAACGTATGCCAGTTGCATGCCAACGTCCCCATTGCCCTCCAGAATTCCTCATCTTACTGGTAAGCCCTTGGTCCTTCCAACAATGGGGGCTGGACATACTTGGGTCTCTTTCCACTAGTACTGGACAGTGCAAGTTTGCCATTATTGGGGTAGATTACTTCACCAAATGGGCAGAAATGGAGCCTTTGGCAATAATTACAAAGCATTAAGTTCAAAACTTCACCTGGAAATCCATAATCTGCAGATTTAGAATAGCTAGGGTAATTGTCTTGGACAATGGGAGGTAGTTTGACAATCGCAAGTCTAAGAAGCTTTGTGCCAAGCTGGGGATAAAACATTACTTCTCTACTCCAGCTCATCCTCAATCGAATGGGCAACCAGAAGTGATTATTTGAACCATAAAAACGGCTCTGAAGACTAAGCTAGAAGCCACAAAATAAAAATGTGTGGAGCACAACCCAGAGGTGTTGTAGACTTACAAAACCATAGCCAAGACGGCAACTCAGGAAACACCATTTGCTTTAGCATTTGGGACTGAGGCAATGGCACCTGTAGAGGTCAGTATCCCATCCCCCAGGGTGGAGCTCTCAAATCTCGAGCAACAATGAATCATTTATGCTTAACCTCGACCTCTTGGATGAAAAGAGGGTCAAGGCCTTGCACCGCATTATGAGTTACCAAAGAAGAATAGCAAGATACTACAACAAGAGGGTCAGACACAAAAGCCTCAAAGTTAGGGACTTGGTACTCAAAAAGCTTCTTCTTACAAGAAGGACCCCACTCATGGAAAGCTAAGTCCCAATTGGGAAGGTCCTTATATCATCTCGAAGGTAATCAAACCTTGAGTTACAAACAGAATAAGGGAAAGTCTTACCTCACTCTTGGACCGTATAACATTTGAAGAGATTTTTTTTAGTAAACTCTTGTAAGAAGGTCATCATCAATAAAATGACAAGTTACATCTCAGTCAAACATTTCACTAGCAGCTTAAAGCTAAAATACATAAATAAACGATGAGCTCTTCAGCTCATAAATAAATGATGAGCTCTTTAGCTTATAAATAAATGATGAGCTCTTCAACTCATAAAATAAACGATAAGCTCTTTAGCTCATAAATAATAATGAGCTCTTCAGCTCATAAATAAATGATGAGCCCTTCAGCTCATAAATAAACAACGAGCCCTTCAACTCATGAACAAACAATGAGCTCTTCAGCTCATAAAAAATGAGCCCTATAGCTCGCAAACATGGCAACCAATAGAGTAAAATTACAAGGAAAAAAAGACTTTTATTCATCAACATGATGGAATACAAGGAGAAAAGAAAAAGCCCTTAGCCCCTCCAGGCCTCCTCTTCAGCTTGGATATTTCCTCTTCCAAACTAGAATTCACAGCTTACTGATGAGCACATAATATTGCATATTTGATGACCTCATTACATGAATTTTAACCTAAATTTGCATTTAATTACTTAGAGTTAGTCAAATTTATGAATAAAGTTGAAATCTTGTGGTTGTAGGTAATTAAAGCATAAATGATGGATTTTAGAACCTTGAAACCAAGTGTGGATGTTTGGTGAAGACATGGACACATTACATAAGGATTTGGAGGCTTAGAAGTGAAAGATATCAAGGAGGTATCGGTGCTTGGGAACATAGGCACTAGCACCCGCACCATTTGGTTGTAGTACCTCGGTTTTCCTCCTTTTTGACCATGATCCACTTCGAATCCGAAGAAATTCAAAACATGAAAGTTGTAGATCTAGATATCCTCTGTATTATGTCATCATTTCAGTTCAATTGGACGGTTGGATAAAAAGGTAGGAAAATTCTACGAAAACTGGTCTGGAGTAGAGCCTACCAGTATACCGTACCGGTATACTTTAGCTACTGGTGTTCACCGTACTGGTATGCATTACCGATACGCTCTACTAAATGCCCAAAATGCCTGCAAATTATGCTCCACTTGCTTGGGGGTCCCACCATTGATTCTCCCACTTGTCCCCTAACATCTCTTATACATTTACATGCCTCCTACACCCTAGTTAAAGATTTTGGAGGCAATGGCATTAATGGGGATGGAAGAGAAGGGGGCAGCCATAAGGGGTGCAGGTTAAGCTTGTCCTAGCCTGTCAAAAAGCCATCCACTCACCTCCTATTGATGAGATGCCTGCACACACATGCTAGAGGACCCTACGAAAGAAAATGCAAGGCTTCTTCACCATATATTCAGCATTCCACAAGATTTTGAGTGTGGCTACCTAAGCTCAAGAGTAGTCCAAGGAGGAGGATGATGAATAGTGCTAGGAATATAAAATTTATGTTTTTTGCATTTTCTTCACCCATTTCATTGCAGTAAGTTGTAGTTCTCTTGTAATCTTTATTTCTTGCATTGTAATCTCTTTTAATTCTAGTGTACCCAAGTTTAATTCAATGTTTTTGCATTCCCATAATCTTTGCTGGGTTTCAATTGTCTTCTCTGCAACTTTTCCATTTTAGTGTTAAATGAACTTCTCTTTTTAGTTTACCATTTCCTACCATTAATACAATTTCTAAGTTTCATTTTCATTTTCTTTTCTTTTACATTTCTCTTTACATTAAGTATGTCTTTCTTGCCTTCATGAGTAGCTAGATTTTTAGTTGGCTAATTCAAGGGAGACCTCCTTTTGGATTTTTCATTTCAACTCATTTTCTTTCCTCCTCTCGGTATACGATGGTCCGGTTTGACTAGGTTGAGAGTAGATGCGGTTGTGAGTCTTTGATATCCCGTAGGCCTAGTCACGGGTTATGCTTGGATCCTCACCTCCATCTCGTCCCCAGCTTCCCATGAATCAATCGTTCATTTATGCACTATTGAAGGAAGGTTTCGAGTTGACTCAGCATTCCCATTGGACTGAACCTTTTGAATTAGCCAACACTTGTTTTATTTCATTTTTGTCAAGAACACAACTCACAAAACTCAAAATCAAAAGATTTTACACTTTTTATTTTCACAAAATCACCTTCACCACACTTGAATTTTCCTTCCCTGAGGAGACAACCTTGGAATACTTTTCGAAGTAAAACACGACACACAAAAGACTCCTTTTGTTTGGGGAGCACTTTTGTTCCCACACACACGCATTTCAATTCATTCACCCACCAATATTATGTTTCCCTTTGTTTGCATGGAACCCGAGTGATAGTGACACTCACCCACTTACATAAGCCATATACACATTAAGGGTTCATGTTAGGACATTAGGGAATACAACAGAAAATGTCAAGCACTTGCAGATGAGCATTCTCTTTTTTCAGCTCGTCACGTTCCTTCTCCACTTTTGTGAGTAACTCCGAAAACTTTAGCTCAGTAGTAGAAAATAAAGTACCATCAAAATAGGAACCAGACGACTGAGTTATGGAAACAAAGCAGTGGTAGAAGCATTGAACTAAACATGATTCTAGGGATAACCAACAATTAGAAAGAAATAGGCTCAACATGAGCCACTTGAGTAACCCTCACCAGCTCTGTCGGGGTCAAACTAGGGGCACCTGCACAGAAGAAGCACAATAAGAACTAATCACCATGGTTAAAACAAAAGTGATTCTAAGCCTCTACTCCTATGAGAAAAAGAGCCCTCAAGAACGTGCACAGCGCTACTTAGCAAACCTCCAAGAATCCCTAGAGGCAAAGAAAAAGTGTTGAATCCATCCTTCAGAAGAGTTGGGAACATCGATGATCAGCGGAGGATCGAAATGGCGCCTCCATCTGAAGCAACTAAAGCAAAGGGGCATGTCCTCATCAAGTTCATAAAAATAGAGGAACTCAGCAATAGTAGGGAATTCACTGTTGCCTTGTAGATGCCAAAAAATAAAGAAGTTGATCATAGCACCCCATCCTTTCAGGAGAAAGACGAGAAACACATAATCCAAAGAAAGCAAGAATCCACCCAATGGAAGGATGGATAGATAGACGAAGGCCCATCCCGAAAGCACCTTCAAACAAGCAAATTTCTCGTCGGGGAAAAGTTGCAAGGTTCATTAAGAGTTGAAACTCAGAGGAGTAAGCCAGCAAGAAGAAGGTATCACCTCTTGATCTCTTCTAACTTTGTAGTGGTGACCATAGAAGGAACCAAGAAGTTAGAGTGTCACTTAATGTCGAACGTAGCTTTGGCACGTTGTTTGAACAAGGGAGTAAGAGAGGAAGCCATTGAAATCAAAAAAGAGACAAAGAACACAAAAAGAAAAAAGAGAAAGACTCAGTGAGAATGAAAAACGTGAAGAATAAATTTCAAGATTTATAGGCAAGAAGAAATTCCAAGATCTATAGACAATCCCAAGTTTTTTTAGAAACATTATGAGATCCCGAGTTTAAAAGGAGCAAGAAACACGCGAAGACGAAGAGGCAATCCTTTAAGCTTCCGAAATTATGATGGTGGAGGTGTTTTAAGAAAGTAGGTGGGCACACATAACGATAAAAAAGTCAGTGCTCCATGCCAAAGGGGCAACTCAACTCTGATAAGCTCGGCTCAGACTAGGAAAAGCTCAAAACACATACAACTCAATTTAACACAAGTGTGAGCTCTTCAGCCTAGCTTAAGCAGAGCTTTCCAGGTCACAGGGACGGGCTTTTCAGTTCACTGAAAAATGAGCTTTTCAGGATAAGCTCTTTAAACCACCAGATCTTTCTAGCTAACACCCTGGCTTAATCCAAGGACGACCTTCCAACCTGGTTAACCTAATCTCATACTTCAAGAAGAAATAATTTCTCCCCAAAGCAAGGTGCATAGGGGAATAGAAAGAATGCAAAAGCACAGTACAACAATTCCAAATTCAAAAACAAAATTCAAGAACAGTGGACAAAAACATTTTTCATTTCTCAAAGGAGATAATTATGGAGTCATTTACAAGAAGAGGGAACACAAATATAGAGGAATTTTAAATAGTAGGGTCAATTGGGGCCTCAGGCAGCTCAGCAATCTGGGAAGCATCAATTGAATCGTGGTCAGCTCGAGCCACATACAGCACAGGAGCCTCGAAGGAATTAATTAGAATAGGGTTAACAAGAATGACGGGCAGCTCAGCAATCCCCGAAACAAGAGTTAGAGCAGGGTCAAGAGCTTCGAAGGTAGCTGGAGTAGAAGAAACCACACAAGCAAGAACCTCGGTAGAAGAGGGTAGGTACCTCAGCTCCCTCAAGAGCAAGCTCAAAAGCAGAAGGGGCCAAAATCTCAGCCTCTTTCGTAGTGCTTGACACCTCCTCCTTATCCGAAGGGGGATCAAATTCAAAGTCCAGGTCTAGATACTTCTGCATTGCTTGGTCTTGGAAAGCAAGGTACCCAGTGGCCCACTTGGTGATAACATCATCCTCCAGCTTGGCGATCAGAACATCCTTCTTTTTATGGTACCTCTCCCAACTTCAATCTCTCCCCGTAGAGTATCATTTACTTAAGCCAGAACATCGCATTCTCTCTTCATGACCTCATAAGATTCTAAGGCCTCTTTGCGAGCTTTAGCTCAGTTGCTAGTTTTCAACCTGAGCTCCTCTTTGGTCTTCTTGACCTCATCATCAGCTTTCCCTTTTTCAGCCTCCAAATCCTTGTTAGCAGAGGACAACCTCTCCACTTGCACTTGCAATTGCAACTCCTGCACCTGATCCTTGAGGTCATCATTAGAAAAAACCAACTCGGCAACCTTGAGCTCAGAAGCCATTAACACCTAGGTTGAACTCTCCAAAGCGCTGAATCTACTCGTCAGAGCACTCACATGAATAGCCAATTGGAGAAAAATACAACCAAGGGTTTGAATCAGCACAAAGCAACAACACAGGATGAAAACTTGGAGAAATAAAAGCTTATTGAAGTAGCTTCATACAAGGTGTTAGTAACACAAGAGGAGAAGGGCATAGCGGTAACCTTCTATATGTCGAACTCAAGGATAATCCTTGAGTTCGACATATAGAAGGTTACCGCTAACCTCGTATTGTCAATAAGTGAACCCTTGCCCTTCTCGACTTTCACACCTTCCACCAACAAGCAATGAATCTTCTCAATGGAACTAGGAGGAGGAGGTCGGCACAAAATGAAAGCAACAGACTCTAAAGCCCCCCTCAACTTCTGTCGAAGAAAGAGATAATGACGTCCTAACTTGCTTAGGATCTCCTCCTGAGTAGGAAGACAAGGTCTCTTGGAGGGTTGAGGTCCGAACGACATCCAATGAGCTTGGTGGAGGAGTAGAAACCACTTGGGAAGAAGGGGAATAAACATAAGGCACCTCTGTTCTTGCACCTTGGTGAGAGGGGCCGAGTCACTTCCTGATCCGATCTCCGCCTTCCATTTTCCCCCATTCTTGCCTTTCCTTAGAAGGTTAACCTTCACCCTCAAAGCTTCTGAACCTGGACCCATTGATCTAGAACCGGGAAACCCAAAGCTAACAGATCAGAAAGAATAAAGAAGTAAAGTAGAAGTTAAGGATGGAAGAGGGGAAGTGTTACCTACTACCTCCTCTGCACCAACAACGGAAATAGGGATAGCTGTCACCTCGGGAGGGCTAAACCCTAGCTTGGTAAGCACATAATGCTTGATTAGGCTAGAATACTTCTCCAGGCTACAATCTTCGAGCCCTAGCAAAGTAAGCCTGTCCTAGGCTCCTAACTCAGGGCGGATACCTAAAACAACCCAAAGGAAAGAGGTCAGCGAATAAAATAATAAGATGAGGTGAGTTGAGCCTGCCCAAAATAAGGACTCACCCAAGTTGTCAAGACCTGACCAAGAGCGTGAGACAGGAAGTATCATTACCATCACTCAGATTAAACTCCCACTCCTTCTTTGGCACAAAGAACTATTTCTTCCTATTCTTGTGAGAGTTGGGCAAGTCAGTAGTCAATGATGGGGTCTTCACATGTTTGTAAATATACAAAAAGTCATTAGGCTGGATTTGACATTGAAGAACTTCATGAACAAAGGGACTGAAGGGGTACCGATGTCATTTTTCTTAAAAAAGAAAGGAGGCCCACCATGACACTCCAGAAATTGGGGGAGATCTGTACATGACAGAAGTTGAAATGTTGAAAGACAGATTTGATGAAGGGATGTATAGGGAACCTAAGCCCATTCTCAAGAGAAGTTACAAAAAATCAGGTCTTCTTATGGACCTTATAGTGTACCTAATGTCAATAGAAGGGATCTAGTAGTGCATGCATTTGGGAAAACCAAACCTTGTGAAAAAAACACTCATGAGAGAACACGTAACCTCACTGGGGCCAATGAGGCCTGAAGTGACTTAATCTGAAATGTGTACACCCAAGGACAAGCAGTCAAGTTGTAGTAATAATCCGGTTAAGTCCGGAGTCGAATCCACACGGAACTATGATTGGTGTTCTGAAGTAAGCAGTGACAGAGACCATGTAACTGAAAACCTTAAGAGTTTGAAGTTAAGGGATTTCTTTGAATAGAATGGAAGATTCTTTCCAAGAGTTTTCTAGACAAAATATAAAATAAAGTTAAATGTAAAACAGTCACCATTTAGCTTGAGGATCAGAACATGTAGTTAATCATCCGGTTTATTATACTTGTGCTTTATAACTCAATTAACTCCCGTGTCAACAGCAAGTTAATCAGAAGGTAAAGATGAACTGTAAGAATTAAGCACATGATTCTGATGTCTTTCTAGGAGTTAAAAAGAATTGTCTGAGCCAAGATTTAACCCGTCTACAAACAAACAAGTGTTTCTACAAGGCATCCAACCATGGCATTAATGTTTCATTCTTTAGATAAAGCACAATAATGGTGAAGATTAAAATGTTGTCATGAAGATCTAACCAGGGTACTTGCCTTGAACCAACTGGTCTTTCCATGCAAGAGTCATCCGTGACATAGAAAGAACCCCTGGTTATACAAAGTACCTTAGCTTTGCTATATGCAATTAATCATTCAATAAGCAAGAAAAAAATGTATTAAAGCATAAAGGAAAAGCAAAAATATAACTTCCAGATAATCAATACATGTTCATCACCTCTTACTAGAGAGTGAATGAGGAACTACACACTCTTCATGGCTTGGGTAAAGCTAGAAAAGTGAGTGATACTCATCCCTCCAAGTAGATAACTTACAAGATAAAGTACAATAAACAAGGAGCCAATCTTCAATGAAGAATAAGTGAATCACATTCCACCCTTCACAGCTTTGGTAAAGCTCTAGAAAAGTGGAAAAGTTTCACTCCTATAAGAAAGAAGGAAGCTCAAGCAATAGAAGTGAAAGACATAAACAATGAAAGTAGAAGAAAGTTAGTCACTTTTGGAGGGTGGCTTCCTCAACCAACAAATGGAGGGTTGCTTCCTCAACCAAAAGATGAACTAACTCTCTTGATACAAGCAAATATACATATATCTAAGACTAGCTACATGAGTGGGAGTCCAAGCCTCCATCAAGTTCTTGACTAGTTCTTGGTGTAGTTTAAGCCTTAAAACCAAGTTCTAGTCTTCTACATGAACATCCTCCCCTTTAAAGGCTCTCCCAAGGGGAGTATTTATAGGCAAGGAGGAGGAGGGGAATGGTGAAAGAATAGTGTATGCCACCCAATTTCAAGTGAAAGCCAACCACTTTATAGTCTATCTGTAGAGAACGTTCGAATGTGAGTTGGCGTTCGAACGCTGTATTTATTTTTCCTTTACAGGTGTTCAAACGTTGTCTGGCGTTCGAGCGTTTCTGCTGTTTTTGATTTGTGGACATTCAAACGCCTGATGGGCTCTCACCTCCTCACTCGAGTGACCTGTGGTCTTTTGTGGAAACCCATTTCCACACTCCACGCACATCTTTGCTCTTTGCACTCATCACTCTGGTCTTCAGTCAAATCAAGTGGACGTTCGAAAGTGGTGCTCCAGTACTTCAGGGTCTTACTTCTTAACTGCAACACGTCATGCCTCAGCAGTCTGGTCTTCTCATAGTTCAAGTGGACGTTCAAACTTGAGTTGGCATTCGAACATTCTTGTTTTGTTCCAACCTTCTCCAATTTTGTTCCCTAATACACTGGTGTTACACTAAAGTGTGATATTTGTTGTTCTTAAGCCTTTGTTCACTTTAGGACCTGAAATGTCATCACTTAAACTCCATTAAAGTACAATTAGTCCCAAAAAGGCATAGTAATATGCTAGATTTAAGTACCAATCATGAAGCACAAGGAGCAAGCCTGGAGACCTTAGTGCTACCTAAACCCTTTTTGGCTTTTCCTTTTCGAGATCTCTTGGAACTCGAAGGAGACCCTAGTAAAATCTGAGGTGCCTTCACCTCCTTTACGACTTCAACCCCGGGAAAGTTGTCAATTTCATCACCAACACCACCCCAACTCATCCTCCTCTACATCGGGAGACCTATCGCCCATAAAGGAAACAGAGGAGGCTGTAGCTTCGAAAGAGGCTGACATAATTGGGTAGGAGAAAGGAAGTCTGAAAGAAATATAGAGAGAGGGGATGCAAGCAAAGCAATCCTTAAGGGCCTAGGTGTAAAGACACCAGTGATCAAAGAGAAAGACTCTAGCGGTGGAATTAGGATCCAAGAAGAGAGGAAGAGAGGACAAGGTAAGACCATGATTCCTAAAGTGACAAAAACAAAAAATTTAGAAATTAAAAAATCACCTCGAATCCAAGGGATCCAGAACGAAAGAAAAGAAGGAACAGAGGAAAGGACATACCTAGCTGGGAACGATCAATAAACCAGGAACCAAGGGAAAGTATAAACGAATTAGGTCATCCACGGAAAGCCTTCAGAGAAATGGAGGATTTTTCTAAAAACCGTAGACCTTTTGGCGAAATTAGGAAGACAAAGTCACAGAGAGAAAAGCAAAGGCAGGAGATAGAATGTGAAGGGGGTCTGAAGAAGCAAAAGATGATTTTTGTTTGCAATCGCATTTAAAGACAGGAGATCATGGATCCTCGAAATAGGGGACGTGCACAAGAAATAAGGAAAGCATGATTACATGACCATCACAATCGTCAGAAGAAAGTCCCATCATGTAAAAATCATGATTACATGACCTTACTCTTGGCATAATCCCTGCCCAAATTGACTTGTTTGACCAGGGACTAAAAGGCAACTGATGGTACCATAAAATATCTAAGGATGAGCTCGGCTCCCTAGGTTAGCCAACTCAGAAGCTCAGCTCGTCAGTATTACATGTGAACCTCAACTCCCTATATTCATACTTCACAGAAGTTTGTTCAAAGGACAACTGGATCCCACCAAGTCCCCCATCTTTTTAGTGTCAATC